TCACTTGTAAAATTAAGGGCTGTAGTAGTTGGACGAATGTTCGCAATGACAGTGAAACATTGTTCTTCAGGTGAGGAAAAGATTTTTCTGCTGTTTTTTGTGGTTCAGCCGGTTAAGTTGGGTAATTCATTGATACTGGCAAGTCGAAATTGCTGAATGAAGAAACTTGAAGGGTGCAGTAATTTTGAAGAATGCATCCTAATGCTATGTGATGAAAGCATTTTGAAGTCGTTTGTATTTTTATTTTTAGGCTACCAATGCAAGGGAAAATCAGAACAGAATGGATTCAAATGATTTCACGGTATCAAGAGCACGACTTTTATGGTTATTTTTTACTATGCGAGCATCATTTTAGAAGAGAAGACTTCATTGAAGAAGGTGGTACTAAGATTCTTCAAACAGGCGCTTTACCATCAATTTTTCCAGAGCCGAATCAACAAGAATTTTACGATGAACCAAGTTCTACTAGCTTCCATGGACCAGAAGAATATACTAGCGAGGAAATTGAACCCGCCCCTGAAGGCGTTGTGGCAAAAAAGCCAGTTTGCAAAAATTGTACGGATTTGAATATGAATTTAATGAAAGCCAATAGAACGATATCATTGCTACAGAGAAAAGTTCTAACACAAAAAAAGACGATAGATGACAATAAAAAGATACTGACTGAGATGCAGAATGAAATATCTAATTTGAAGATAAAAGAAGAGGTAGGATAAATATATTGAAATAGTAATAAGTCAATTGTATATATCTGTATTTCGGCCTATTGTATATATAAATAAAATCACAATTGTATATATGAATGAAATCCAATGAGTCTGTGTCATATTTGAAGTTATGGGCGATGCACAAGATGGTAAAAATCATTGCCTATTAAGCGTTTGTGAAAAATGTTGGGGAAATTTCTGTTTCATCTATTGGATTCGAACATAAATTTGGCCAATTTGAACTTTGTCTCTAACATAGTACTTAACTTGATGCATTTTTACAGGACACATCGAATAAGGTTATAATTGATTGTCTGGTTGCAAAAAAACGTCCCAAAGAATATAACGAATCAGTCCGAGGTTTCAGTTTGACTTTACACAGTTTGAGTCCCAGAGCCTATAATTTTGTTCGACAAAAATTCCGAAAGAACCTGCCACACTTTAGCACAATAAAAAAGTGGTATGCAAACAGTAGCTGTAACGGAGAACCAGGCATCTCTCAAGAAAGCCTCAACACACTACGAAATTTAGTAGAAGAAAGTGAAGATGAAATTCATGTGGTGCTCAATTTTGATGAAGTTCATATCAATCGAGACTGTCAGTGGAGCGATGTGCGAAAAAAATTCATTGGGCAAATTACATACGGTTCTATTCCAGAAAATGCGAAGTACCTGCCAATTGCCAACAATGCCGTAGTATTTATGGTAAATGGTATCGATAAGTCCTTTAATCTGCCTGTCGCACACCATTTTATTAACTGTCTTCAAGCCCACGAAAAAGCTGCATTGTTAACAATTGTTCTAAAGGCAGTATCAGAGACCGGAGTGAAGATTGTTGCAGTAGTTTTTGATGGCTTAATTCAAAATTTTGCTGTTTGCAAACTCCTGGGTGCTTCATTTGATGTTCAAAAAGATTTTCGCCCCTACATTATTAGTCCACACGATGGTGAGGAGATTTTGATTATACTGGATATTCCACACATGATTAAGCTACTTAGAAATTGTCTTGGAGCAAAAAAGACACTGTATCACACGGACGGAACGAATATCCAATGGAAATTTTTCGAAGCGCTAGAAGAGTTGCGTTCCAAATCTGATGTGGTAACGCACAAGATAACTAAAAAGCATATTCAGTTCGAGAAAAATATCATGAATGTGGCACTGGCAACTCAAATATTCAGTGAATCTGCAGCAAGTTCAATGGAAACATTTCTGTCATTACGAGATACAAAGGATCTTTTCGAACAATGTGAAGGTACCGCCCAATGTGCCCGACGCTTCAATAATCTATTCGATATATTTAATTCAAAATCTGATCCCAAATATAATATATTTAAAACACCTATCAACGAACATTCAAAAGATGAGATCTTTAAATTTTTGGATGAAACCATTGAGTATATTATGAACTTGAGAGTGGACTCTCCTGACGGAACAAGTGTATTGAAAATTCGTAGGAAAACTGCGTTTTTGGGCTTCATTATAGATATAACGAATCTCAAACAAATTTATTTGAATTATGTTGAGACCAATAAAATTCCCATGATCGAAACACAAAGGTTAAACCAAGATCCCCTCGAAAATATGTTTGGCCGCATTCGAACCGTCTGCATAGGTAAGTATTGGTGTGTTTTTTTTGAATGAAAGAGATTTGGTTTCACTCGCTGAACCGAACATTTTTAGGTTTAAAAAAACGACCAACACTTTCATACATTGGCGATAAATATAAATTCTGAGTACATTTTCCATTTGATTTATGGAAAATGTTCCCAGAATTGATATTTATCGCCAATGTATGAAAGTGTTGGTCGTTTTTTTTAAACCTGAAAATGTTTGGTTCAGCGAGTTAGTCATATTCTTTATGTTGATTCGGTACAATTTTTCACTTAATTGCACTTAATTGTGTGTCCTAATGTACGGATTGGTATGAGTTTTTGTCATTATATGTACTCATTCAGCAAATTTAACGAAAAATAAGCACTAAGATCCAGAAAACTTAAAGAGAGTACGTTCTGTAGTGTTCAAACATACGTGTTCGATTTTCTTGTATTTTTTGTTTATATATAAACATTTATCGTTTTTTCTTGTTATTTTTCTTCCGAGTAGGTAACAATGATAATCCGACAGTTGATCAATTTTGTGGAGCTTACAAAAAAATACTTATGGCTACAGAGCTTACAACGCCAGCCTTATCAAACTGTGCTGATAGCCTGAATATACTACATGTTCCATCGACATCCACTCAAAAACAAAGTTCATCACAGCCACCATGCATAGTCAGAGTTTCACCAATGCCGAATACTGTCCGAAAAACTGTAAAAAAAAAACAAAAAACGAACGCTGATGCAATTGAATCGATTGATAGGCTATTGAATCAACCATTTGAATCAGAAAATAGCGACCCTTTTAATTTTGATGGATGTGATATCACCATTTCATATTTGGCAGGCACAATTGAAAAAAGGTTCTCTTTGACGCGCACCAATTGCACTGATTGCCAGCGTATTATGAAAAATATTTTTGAAGAAAATTCAAAAGTAGATAGTTCGGTAGAAACAAAAAAAAGCCAAATTCCTTGTCAGTCCACTGTGAAAATTTGCAGCATTACAAACAAATTTCTAAAAATTCATGCATTTAAAATTGACTTCAAATATAATCGATTTTTAAATGAAATTTTAGAAAATCTTGAAATAGATTTATATGAAAATACAGACTTCACACATGATCTTCAACACAAATTTGACTTGATCAGATTTGTTGTTGAAGAATTTATTCGATATCGCGCCACGTATATAGCCCGAAAAATTACATTAAACGAAAAACAAAAAATGTTGCGGAGGAAAAATAGAAAGCTGATTCACTTTGTGGGCGAGTAATACATATATTATCTGCATCAACGGATATTATATATAAATCATTTACTAAATAAATATTGTTCTATCAAATATGATCTTAACTTAAGTTTTCATACTTTCATGTTTTACATTTAAAATCCTAAATATATAAACACTGACATTTTTTCATTTCTTTTCAATTCACACTCAATTCATTTAAAAATTACGTCTGAGACCATCCCAAATGTTTTTCTCAGTATCGTTTGTTGGTTTCCTCTTGGCTGTTATTGCCAGAAATAGTAATAAAACATAATTAATGGCATAAACAGAAAATAACAACAAACAATGGGAATTTAAGCCATGGTAAATGTATGTAGTTGCATGAAGTGCGAAGTGATGCGAAGTGATTCACTGTATGCGATTGTATGGCATACGTTGGCCCATATGTATCTTTGTTTTGCTTTTGTTGATCACATGTTCAGTTACTTGATCGATATATCGCTTCGCCACATTACAAATGATTACAAACAGTTCATTGTTCAAATCATTTTGTTGCAATTTGTGGTCATTATTTGTTCGTTTCATGGAAAATGTATAAATTGTAAACTTTTTGAGCATGAATTGGTTGGTTTTCATAGCGTGTTTATATGTTCCGGTTCTTGTTCAAACTAATGTTTCTCTTGAAATATATAAATAAACAAACAAATAAAAGAAAACAAAATATGAATATTGGAAAATTTATTTCAAATGCACAAATTAATGATTCTCGTTAAGCACAACAAACATTTTGACACAAAAAAATATCGTTCGCATTTTCTATTCTCTTTGCAACATTTAGCTGAATCTGTCTGGTTAAGCTAATTTGGTTCACGAAAATTATTCTAAACCTTTCTTAAACTAAACGTTCTGAACCATGTATGTATGTGTAAAGGGTGGATAAGGAAAGGAGACGCCTTTTTATCGCTTTCTACTGCAAAAATTAGCCTCTTGAACTGAAGGTCATTTGATTTCACTCGCTGAACCAAACATTTTTAACTTTTAAAAAATACGACCAATATTTTCCATACATTGGCGATAAATATCAATTCTGGATTTATGGAAAATGTACTCAGAATTTATATTTATCGCCAATGTATGGAAAGTATTGGCTTTTTTTTTTAAATTAAAACTTCATTGGTGCAGCGAGTTAATCCGAGTTAATCATATTCCTTATGTTGAAACATGTTGAGTTGGTACAATTGTTCACACAATTTTGTTACAATATATGTGACTCATTCAGAAAATCGTACGAAAAACAGGCTCTAAGCCACAGAAAGGTCAGAAAGCTATATACTGCAGTGTACTCAGTTAGGTTTCACTTGCTGAATCAATGACTTCTAATTTTAAAAAAAAACGATCACATAATACGCGATCAAATTTTATGCATTCCTTTTTATTTTTCAAACATTCCGTGAATGTAGTTATTTTGCCGCTTTTCGGTTGCGATTGGCCTCAAGTTTCTTAGGATGGCGTTGTTTCCGTAGACGTTTTGGCGATTTGAATTGATGTATCTTTTGTTTGAACAGTGCAATCTCGGTACTTTTGCGAGCCGATATCTCTTCGAGTTGTTTTATTTTATCCTCCACATTTTCTGCGGTCAAGGGGGAATTTTCATCACAAAGAAAATATTTCACTTCGTAATCCGTTTCTAGTCCCGTGTGAACTAGATTGGCGTGGCGTTCAAATGAAGACTTGGCTGTGAAACAGTCCGGGCATTGAGTACACAAAAAACGACGACCTTTGTGAACACTTTCCACATGTGCACTGAGAGCTGACTGTCCACTATAAATGATGCCACACATCGCACAAATGTTTGATGTTTCGTGCTCCTCGTCATCGTTTTCATGCTCCTCGTCTTCGTTTTCGTGCTCCACCTCCTCTTGTTTCGAAGTGGACGTTGTAGCGATCTCTTGTTGTAGCATAGTTAAAGCACCACCACTAGTAAAATTAAAAATTTTAATTAATGTTTTTTTTATTGAATTCAATCCAAATCCGTCAAAATTTCACCGAATTTCACTATTTCTATTTTCAAACAATTCAAATTAACTATATGTACCTTCGAGTATTCATTTTATCTAACAAAAATTCACTGTTCAATGTGATTCAAAATCCTCCGTTTTCTCTAATGTTTCGAAGTCACTTTTATCGCTCTTACTCTATCGGAATGAAATGTTTAAATCTCATCCAAATGCCCATTCAAACAGTTCTGAACTGAGCAAACGATGGCAAACGATGAATCGATATTGTGCGACATCAATGTGAAGTGCTGAATTCGGCTGAATGTCCATTCGGTTTTTGGTTTGTTTATTAAAAACAAATGAGTAGTTCGGAGCGAAAATGTCATACAGAAATTTTACACGGAAAAATGTCACATTTAGAGAATTTATCAAATGGAAAAGCAATTTATTGTCAAATTGGTATCAAATAGAAGAGCATTGGTGTCAAGGCCAACATAGCTGTTGTAATTGATAACAAATAGCTTCCCTATTTGACAAAAAATATCTTCTCCATTTGATAAATTCTCTATATGTGACATTTTTCCGCGTAACATCTCTGTATGACATTTTCGCTCCACACTACTCAAATGTAATTAACAATGAATGTAAAGCAATATTGAAATTTGACTACCACTTGAAAACGTCGGAGACAGTATAGCACGGGATAGCCGTATGTGGCTGTATGCGGCTGTATGCTATACGCTGTACCCTGTGCATTTGTGTGCATGTATATTTTGGTGTTTGTAAACATCAACCCGAAGATGTAGAGATTATTCACGAAAAAACATTCGACCATTCCAGAATGTGATGAACAGTCAAATGACATCGATCGAATTAGATGATCAGTAACAATCTGTCAAAATGGCAAGAACTGTGAAAGAAGTGAAGAAGCAACGAAGGTACTTTCATACTGGGAGATAGTGCAAAAAACATATTTAAACTTTTTTTCAATATTTTAGTGAACGTCGTTCACAAGGAGAACGACCATTGAACATTTCAACGACAAATCCAAACTCAACAGAGAATGAAGAAGAAGGCAGCCAAAGCCATGAAACTGTTGCTTCGGAAAGTGATAGTAAAAGTCAAGCTCAATTTGAAGGAACTGTGGTAGGGGCCATGCCGGAATGCAGGTAATTACATGTTGAGATTGATGGAGGTATGTTACAAAAAAAAAATCATAATTCAATTTTTTAGCAAACAGTACTCTTTGCGTACACGTTCCATTCGTGCGCCGGTGGAAAAAGAGCACCAACAACAGCAACAAGTTGACGATCAGAAAGAGAAAGAAGAAAGTCAAAGCAAATATTCTTTGCGTACACGTTCCATTCGTGTGCCGGTGAAAAAAGAGCAGCAACAAGTAGACGATCAGGAAGAACAAGAAGAAGAAGAAGAAGAAGACAGTCAAGACCAAGATGATGATGCAGGAAACGTCGACGAAAATGAAGCTCAACAAGGCATTCAGTGCAACCAATGCAATAGAAGCTTCAGCAAACAAAGCAATCTCAACGCACACATCAAATCCGCACATTTGCAAACGAAATATTTGTGCCCCGATGACGACTGTTCCGATGATTTCACAACGAGCTCGTCGCTTCGACGTCATTTAAAGCGCGCTCACAAGGAAAATTTCGAAGAACTCAACCCATTTATTCCAGAGCAGGAATACATCCTCAACAAAGGCAATTATATACGTAGTGAAAGTGCAAACCTTGCAAAAATCAAACGCCTTACAAACCTGATCGCAGTACAAGACGAAGAGCTGGATGAATTAAAAGAAGAGTTTCGAAAACTGTCAGAAAAAAATTAATTGTGTAAACATGCCAATGAATTGTGAATTAAAATAAAAAAGAAAAAAAAATACGACCAACACCGCACTTTAGCAATAAATATCAATTCTGAGTACATTAAGCCTAACTTGATATTTATCGCTATTGTGTGAAAGTGTTGGTCGTGTTTTTTTAAACTTGAAAATTGTCGGTTCAGCGGGTGAAATCGAATGGTCTTCGATCGTCTTCGATTCACAAGGCATCTCAATTGTTTTCAATAAAATAAAATATATCTTTCAGGGGCAATTCCAAATAAATTGTAATATTTATTTCGTGTCAATGGGTCAATGTCCTCTGCTTTGATTAATTTGAACGATATTTTCGTCAAAAAATTTGTGTGATCTTTGATTTATTTTTCAGGGTTGTCAATTGTTTTTTGTTTAGTCTTACTGGCGCTTACTGGATATTGAACAATAGTTTCATATTTGTTCATATTATTTCGAAAATTATTTTCTATGTGTATGCGTGTATATATGTGAGACTTATAATTAAATATATATATTTATATAAATGAACGTCATTGGAAAATGTTCTTGTTATCTGTTCTAAAGAATGTTGAAATGTGATGAAAAATCTTAAACGTAACGGTCTATCACAATGTATTCAGTCAGTAAATATGTGGCTTATTTTTCCACATTTTCCTTATCTTCGCCATCTTTATCTTCGTCAATGGGATCCATTTCTGAACAGTCTGCAGACGGTCTTCGGAATTTTTTTTTCATTTTCAAGTTCGGTAAACGTACTTCCAACAAAGCACGTAAGTTTTCACCCAGCGATTCATCATCAGGATGTTCATCCTTCACTTCTTCTGAATTGTGTCCACTTGTTTGAGGTGTATTCATTGATCCAGCAGCTGTATTTAAAGCTGATATGGTCGCACCTTCTTCAATTTTCACCGTTTCACCATCTGAATGTGCAGGCAAAAATTACTCCAAATTAAGTGAAAAAATAAATCGGAAGAAAAATACCATTCATCCAACTGATGAATTGCCATGGAGGGTTAACTCGCTGAACCGATGGATTCGGTGTTTTAAAAAACGACCAATATTTACACACATTGGCAACTAATGGCAATTTTGAAAACATTTTCTCAAAATGTCATGGAAATTGCAATCATAGTCGTCGTTTGTCGTCGATGTGTGTAAATATGGGTTGAGTTTTTTAAAATTC